ACGTCGATCTGACGATGGTAACACTCTTTTTAAGAATACGTTTGATTACAATACTGTCTACCGTCTATCATAGCTACTACTTCGTAAGACAACAACATCGTAACGCAGTGACGATAATATTTATATGAGCATCGTCAGCGATATCATCATCATCAAGAATTTCCAAATAGCCATGATCCAAAGCAAGAGTCCAGTTGGTATGATTTTGCCAATGAGTTTTGGATTTCATCAAAATGATCTTGTCGATCCATCTCACTTGATGATTTTGAAAATCAATCAAAATTCCCAATTCATCCAGAAAGTCGCGACCAAGGATAATGTCGTGAGGACAATTAGGTGCGTCAAACACTGTCACAGTGTTACCGTAGATTCGCCAATGTTGATCAAATTCTGGAAACAGTCCATCTCGAAGCTCAACAGTTTTGTTAGCATTGAAACTTCTGGATACAGTCGCACAAGGTTTAGCAGTAGTATTAACTTTTACCATTGCGCCTTGTGGAATACTTCTTGCATGAATCATTGTAGTTTCGCCTCCAGAATCAAACAATACTTGTAGTGGTTTTGCAGAATGTTTTCCGCCAATGTTTCCCCATTGCATCAAAGAAATAGGTGTCAATTTCTTTTTGTTCATCGATTCACCCGTAGATTCCAAGGTTTGTTTTGGAGTTGGCACACGAATGAGGGAGTCATTCAAAAGAAAATGTTTTTTGTCTTGCGTCATCGGACCGTGATCAGGGGTCGATGCTGTAGCAAAAGATGAAAGATTAGATTGGAGGAAAGGATTGATTAAACGGTTAGACTGCAAACGAGTATTGCTTTGGAGCAAAGGTCAGTAACCTTCATAGGAATAATGCTCGGCATCACCGTAAGGATAATAGCCTTGATCATCTTGTGGAGGATACGATTCTTCAGGAGGATACAATTCTTCAGGAGGAGGATACATTTCATTTTGTTCATGCGATTGAACGAATTGGCCTTGGACGAAGTATTGATCATTTTGTTCTGGCTGATCTTCAGCATGCTGCTCTACGGCAGAAGGCATTCTGCCTTGGTCCTCTACCGGGACAGTTCCATCCGGAACGAAGCATCCCGCTTCCTGATTGAAATGTGATTCAGCATAATGATGATTTTGAAAACCTCTTCCCTGAGAGTTTCCTGGAGGTCTGTTGTTCAGAGCTTGATTTCCAAAACGCCTGGAGGTCTGTTGTTCGGAGCTTGATTTCCAAAACGACGCTGGTTTTGGTTGTTGCCACTTGGTCTTCCTTGATAGTTGTTTGTAGGTCTTTGTGGATAACGATTTCCACCATTCTGCTGTCCTTGGTTCTGGTAGCTAGGATAAGGCTGACTAGAGCCAAGTCGTCGATCGCCATAGCAAGAGTTTCCATAGCAAGAGCTTCCATTTGCTCGACCGCCATGATTAGAAGAACGATGATTGTGAGATCCAGTGCGAGAGCGATGATGGCTTGCACGTCCAGTTCGCTCACGAATTCGTTCCTTTGCAGCATGGGTGTTGTCCATGAGGATCTTAGTAGCTTGAAAGTATTCTTCCATTATTGCTACTGTGATGGAAGGATCTTCAATCGGTCCTTTTTGTTGACGAAGTAGATCTTGCCATTGCTTGGGAAAAGATTCGTATGAAACTCAGAAATCAAAAATCAAAAACTAAAAGGTAGAAGATTATTTCCATGCACTGCACCAAAACAAAACTGTACCAGTCCTACGCGTTTTCTACGTAAAGGAAAACAGTTGTTGTTGCTGAAACAGGAAAGAAATTTACTTTAACATGAAGGATAACATCGTCAACCCGCCGGAGAAGGATCCGAATTTGATCATGACTGTAGCTGACCAAGGTCAGGGAGGTCTCGAGGAAAAAACCCGATCAAATTCAACCACTCAATTGTCGATTGCTCTAACAAAGGATAATCCTGTCATCACGACTCCCAAGCGCAGCAGCAAGCGAAACCCTTCAGAAACCGCCGAGGATGGCGCAATGAAAGGCCGCTCGCTCTTCCCATCTGAAGTTCCCCAAGGTCAGGACGTCACGGTCAACACTCGCCCGAATCCGACCACCCCTTCGTCGATCTAGTTAACTAAGGACAATCTGCCTGATCCCACGACTTCAAAGAGCCAACGCAAGCAACCCCCTCCTTCCAAAACCGCCGAGGATGGCGCAGTGCAAGGACGATCGCTTGTTGCCTACATCACAAAACTCAAGGTGTCAAAGTTTCACAGGCTCTACAAGAAGGCTTGGAGACAGGAGATGTTTG